AAAAAAAATGTTTTCCTTAAGCATTATGCTCTTTTAAGAACTATATGGGCTCAAATTGACAACAGCAACTTGAAAGATTAGATAGGAACCTTAGGGGGGCAGTGAATTGATGTTCATGGGGGAGGAACAACTCAGAAAAGGAGGGAAGAATGGTTACACAACTCAAAGAATGTGATCGGTGTCACTAAAAGGTACATGGAGAAACTGTAGAATTGGTGTATGTTTTGCTGTGTGTATTCTCAACAACCAAGTAAATAAAATTATATTAAAAAAATACTTAAGGGTAATTTACAACTTACTTACCAAGCCTGAGGCATTTGAAAAATTGTGGAGAGGCACTATCCATTCAGTAGCCACTAGCTACCCATGGCTGTCTGAATTTAAATCTGATTAAGTAAAATTGAAGATTCAGTTCTTCACTGGCACCAGCCACATTTCGAACGCTCGGTCACCGCCCCCAGTCTCAGGCTACCGCACTGAACAACGTAGCTGTAGAACACTTCTGTCACGGAAAGTTCTGTCCGACAGCCCTGGGGTGCTCAGTGTTTTTTGTTCGTCTTGGGTTTTTGTTTTTTAGTTTTTTGCCTTTTCCATTAAGGTTCGTCAAAGTTCTGTTATTTTTAAAAGTAACTCTTTATAATTGTGGGTTCCAGTTAACGCTGTCCTAGATGAAGCATGTTTAGGGTAGCTGTAATGTCCTGGTTTACACCTGTTGTTCTGGCATAATTATTATAGGTTGCCCCTTTCAGTCTCAGAAGTGTCCTGATTTGGATGATAAATTATATAGTTGCCCTAAGTATAATGTTAACTTTGGCTGAACTAATCAGCATGTGTAGTTGGCCAGCCTTTCAAGGAGCTTCATGGGGCACAGAGGTGTTTGTGGTCTGAACCTCATGGTAGTCTAGAAGGAATTTTCTGGGAGAGTTCTTTACATTTTTATATCTTTGTAGCCTGATGTACGTCTTTGGCAGAGGAGGGCCTGGTTTACATTAGCATGAGGGAGGCTGCACAGCCTCCTGGGAGCTCCTGACTCAGAGCCTCACTCTGACCACACCCCAGCTGGAGGGAGGGCTTTTGTTTTCCAACTCTGGAAGCCAGCTAAAACTTAGGGGAGGGGCCTGGCCTGGGCCTGGGTGGGTGGGGCCAGGTGCCCCCACCCTGGAGGGAATGCTGTCTCCTGCCTGAGTGGAGAGATGGCCATGAGTTCCTGCCCAGGGAGAGCCTGAGGAAGTGCGTGGCCGTGTGCGTAGAGCTGTGCAGCAGGTCCCAGGAGGTGCCCCCATGCCAGGCTCTCTGAAGGAAAGTGCCCTCCTTGGACTTAATCTTGATGGCCTTTCCCAGGTGACTCAGCCCAGTCAGAGCAGGTGCTCTGCCACAAGGTCGTCAGAGCAGGTGCTCTGCCACAAGGCGGTCAGAGTGCAGGGCCAAGTAAAGAGCTCCATTTTATCCCTCATACCATCCTTCTGTGCCCCAGCTTTGAGGCCAGCCAGAAGTTACCCCTGCAGGTCACTGAAGCCTAGCCCTCGTGTCGCCCACACAGCTGTGTCACCAAGTGGGACCGTACTGTCATCCTGTTCCCCTGAAGAAGGGTGTGTGGCTCATGCATATGTAGGAACTACCTTGACTCCTGCTTAACATCAGTAAATGTATGTGCATATACAGCTAATCATGTCTCTTAACTGTGACTCATTTTCTCATATACTTTTACTTTGTCTTAATTACACAGTGGGTTTAAGGTAGCATAGAAACTACACAGAGTACTAAAGAATAAAATAATATGTATAAGTATCCGGGCAAGGAATAGTGAAGACTGAAAAATAGTAAATCCAAGAGTAAAATTATCCCCTCAAAATGTGAACCACCAAGTTCTTCGCGCCGGACTAAAGTTGGGCCGTGGAGTTGATGACACTTACTAGCAGCTGAAGGAATATCCAAAACCGACAGCTACAGGGTTTGGAGGAGCCCTGGCGGCACAGTGATTAAGAGCTCACCTGCTAACCAAAAGGTTAGCAGTTCGAATCCACCAGCCGCTCCTTGGAAACCCCATGGAGCAGTTCTCCTCTGTCCTATAGAATCGCTATGAGTCGGAGTCGAAACCTGTAAGAGGAACAAATGAGCAGCTCCAGAGACTCAGTTTTCCTGATGCTGAGGCCCAAGAGGAGTTAGTCCTGTAGGTGCTCCTAGAATGAGGGGAGGCATTGATTTAATGGCAGGTGCCTTGAGTTCTCATTGGATCCATTCAAATGGAATACATCTTGTTTTGAATTAAAGGAAACCCCATGAGGCGAGGCACCAAAGGGAAGTCCTGATTCCACGTAGCCCATGAGCCAGCTGGGTTCTTCCAGGGAAAAGAAAACTCTTCTGTTGTCAAAGTGTAAACAGAAAAAATGATTGATTGTATTTACTTTGGGCTCAAGCTGAGGTTAAACTTCTGTGCTGTTTAATTGGAGATTCTGAAACTGGGTGGGGTTTGTCTTCCAGGATAGAGGGGAATCTAGCTACTCTGCATGGTGTTCATTTTGAATAACCTTTCTTACAAAGCGATAGTAACGAAGCTTTTTTCCTTTTCTTTTCTGATACTCTTTAAGCAAATTAAGAAAGATATAGATGAACACCAGCTCCTGACAGAGAGCGTCTTACAGACCGGGGAGAGTCTTCTACAGTGCCTGTTGGACAATACCCCAGGTGAGGTGCTTGTTTCAGGTTCTGAATTTAGCCAGAGTTTAATCCCTCTCCACAGCAGGCCCAGGGGCTCAGAGACTCAGGGACCCATACTGTCACTGTTGAGGGGCCGGTATTGCAGGGGGCCCTCCCACATGCACCCATTGCCATTGGAGTCCCAGACGGTCTGACAGTGCCTCACACCACCGCCGCCCCTCAGCCCCTTTCCCTTCCCAGCTGCCCCCTGCAAGCACATATGACAAGGCAGTCGCGGCCATAAAAGTAAGCTGATTAAAAGTTGTGTCAGGCCTGCAAGAACTAAACTTTTTTCTGCTCTGGTTTTTCTGAATCCTGGAGTGGTTAAGTACTTTGCTACTAACAAAGTGCTTGGCAGTTCGAACCCACCAGCCGCTCCACAGAAGAAAGATGGGGCAGTTGGCTTCTGTAAGGACTTACAGCCTTGGAAACCCTGCGGGGCAGTTCTGCATTGTCCTACAGGGTCGCTCTGAGTCGGAATCAAGGTCCTTTGTCTAGGGCTGAAGTATTCAAAGTGGGCAGCCTCGGGGTTCCCCACCCTCTCCAGCTCTCTGGCTGAATTCCTGGCTGGTTATGTGGTTTGTGTTATGCTTTGGGGGAGGATTTGTTTCAGAAAAGGATTCTCTCATTCAAGAGGATTTGAGAACAGTCAGCCTACTCGCAGGGAATAGTTGGAGGAAGTCAACTGGGGCGGGGGGGCGGGGGGTGTCACCCAGGGCGGCAGTGTGAACGGAAAGCGCACTCAAGCCCCTTTTGCCGGATGGATTCCCAGTTTAGGAAAGTGTAAAAATTACAGATTTCAAGAGTACATCTAAGTATGCAGGGTGCCGAGGATTTGCATGCATCATTGGCCCAGGGTGGGGGGCTGCGGGGGAGATGCGTGATAGGAATGATGAGCTAGGAGAGTGCTAGGCTAAAAGGACGAGCTGATAGACCCCCCAAGAGCAGCACCTAATTTTCCATAAGACCTTACAGCCTAGTGCTAAAAAAGCCAGCTATCTCACGCCTCGCTTTGTGTTTTGCAGTGGGGTTTATGTTGGAAGCAAATGGAATAAACCCAGCTGGGTAGGACACACAGGAGCTTAAGAGGCAGTGAGGAGGAACTTTCCTCACCGGGACCGTTGGGGAGGTGGTCTGCAACGGCATCTCTCAACCTTGGCTCTGTTGACACTTTGAGTTGGATTCTTTGTTGTGGGGGCTGTCCTGTGCATTGTAGATCTTCAGCAGCATCTCTGGCTTTCACCCTCTAGATGCCAGTAGCACACTCCTCCCCTCTAAGTTGTGACAAATCAGAATGTCTCCAGGCATTGCCAAATGTCGCTGGGGGCAAAACAGCCAGAGTTGAGAACCACTAGTGTCGTGGGGTTTCGACGACAGGGAGCCCCTGAAGGAGAAGGGTTTTGACCAGGTTAGTAATTATCCAGTGTGAATTAGAGAGTCATCTGCAGTGCCCTGCCCTCTTAGGGCTTTTGCTTGGCTCTTCCTGTGTTCCCTAGAACCGGGGTCTTTTGTTGGTTGGTTCTTTGTTGGGGCAGAAATTCAGTACGCCTGGCTCCTTTGCTACTTGTAGTCACTCCAGCGTTTTAGTCAACACTCAACCAGACGCCAGACGCGGTGCTGAAGCAGTTGACATATCCATCTTTTTTCAGCTAAGCACAGCCCTGTGATTACTCCCACCTGACGGAGTTTTTAGCTTGTCTTGGCCCCCACAGCTAGGAAGGGCAGTACAGCCTGGCTCGAGCCCGATGCACTGGCCCCTGCTGCTGCCATGGTGTCTGGAGGTGCCGGGGCCTGAGCGGGACAGGAGAGGCACCAAGGGGGCGCATGTAAAAGTGGCTCTTTTTGTAACTATGGGTTCTTTGATCTTCATTTAAAAACTAATTCAGTAATACTTACCAATGCTGAATCTGTAGGAAGAACAGCTCACTTTGCTCTTCTCTCAAAAGGGATCTGAAGGTATTCTACTGGCTAAAATAGGCAGCTTTGGAGTTTTCAGATATGTATGCAGGCTCTTTCAGACTGACATACTTCCCTTCCCCATCCTCCACTCGAAATAACGGAGAACTTGGCTGTTCAGTGACAATCACATGTTCCCCTTAACACTGCACACCTCTCGCAGCGAGGTCCGTCCTCTTTCTTCAGCAGCACCTCGTCAGCCAGGGAAGGCTCAGCGCTAATACTCCACCCAGCGCCCTCAGAGCTGGGTTTCTCACTCAGTCAGCTTCAGCATCGTCTTAAGGATTTAAGATCTTTAAGAATTTACCTTCCCCTCCAAATGTCCCTATCGCCACCCCCTGCCATAGGCCTAGACACAAAAATCTGGCAGGTTATCAGTACTTTTTGACCCAGTTGCTTGCAGCACACAGTCTGATCATTCTCACACCCACATTCCTTATAGTGGATCAGAGTCTTAACCCTGTTGGCACTGAGCCATATCAGAGCCCTGTATGCATGTGTTCAATTAAAAAACAAAAATCTCACTCAGGAAAGTTTTTTCATTCCATTCCCAGCTTCCCTTTTACTTGGTCCCATTCACAGATTCCAACAGGAAGTTTAAAACAGCTTTATCTCAAAGTTTCGAAAAATAAAGGTCCCCTGAATTCTGACAAGGCAGAGTACTGAATAAAGGTCTGATGAGCATGGGTGGTGAGAAGCCAGTCCAGTCACCCTCGGAGGCAAGCTTTATCGCACCTCCTGGCTGCAGCCCTGTGCCAGCCTTGCCGGCACTCTCGTGAGCTGTGAGCTGTCGGGACAAGGCTTTGCTCTGATGACACCGCATTGCTGTGGCTTCCCTGGGGGCCATCTCAGCACAGCCAGCCTGTTTCTCCTCCTTCCGCTCACCCAGTCAGCATTGTCTGTAGATCAGCAGCTTCCCCTTTCACTTCCTCTGCGGGCAGACGTTGCAGCTGTGGCAGGAAACTAGGGAGCGTGTTAGCACAGTTGATAAAGGCCCAGGAAGCTAAGGCAGCCTTTGTGCTTCACGAAAGAAATAAACTTTTTAAGAGAGAAAAAAACAAGCGTGCCGTACATGATGCACTCTGGACCTAGCCCATCCCTTCCTCAAATGAACATTTCTAACTCAACACTAGGTGTGAATCTTGGCCTCACCAACACTCCTGTCATAGCCTGCTTTCAGATTTTTTTTTTTTTTTAAATTCATTCAGTTGGGACCCACAAAAAAAGATTCACAAGCATTCCCAAATACACTACTGAACCAAAAACTCAAACTTGTTGCCGTCAAGTCGATGCCAACTCAGAGCAACCCTATAAAACAGAAGAACTGCCCGATAGGGTTTCTAAGGCTGTAATCTTTACAGAAGCAGACTGCCACATCCTTCTCCTATAGAATGGCTGGTGGGTTCAAACTCCCAACCTTTTGGTTGGCAGCTGAGCACTTTAACCACTGTGCCACCAGGGCTCCTTAGAGCCCCATACACATGCTAAATTAAAGTCCCCCCGGCCAGCGGGAGGTGATAGGACTTGGTGGCAAGGCCCAGAGTCCCAGTCTTGTTTCATTTAAGCTTTCTGCCCGAAAGGATCTGTGCACCCCAGGTCTCATCCCTAAGTCAGGTAATACCAGTCACCAGAGAACCACGTCTGTGTGCCCTTCGCCTTCTGTAGTTCCACAGTGGAGCCAGTGGATCTTCTCTGAGCCTTAATCAGAAGTTAACAGCAGAGCCCCTCCAATGCCCCCGAAGGCCCTGGAGAGTCACTGTTAAGAAAAGGGCTGTGACCGCCACGATCCTATTTTGTGCAAAGATACACCGTTGCATGTTCTTTTGGGAACGACTTGCAGAGTTTTTGGCCTAACAGTCCTGAACCCCATTTGTTAGTTTTAAAGGATGTCCTGGGGAGGATCGCGGCGCAGTCCGGTGAGTTGGAGAGCCATGCGGACCATGTGTATGACTCTATCTTAGCCTCTCTGGACATGCTGGCTGGCTGCACCCTCACCCCGGGCAATAAGCCAGTGACAGCAAAGGAGCGCCAGTGTGAAGGGGTCTAACCAGGTAAGCAGAGCACCCCAAAAGAAGAAAATCTGCTCTCTAAACCTAGTGATTATTGCTCTAGAGCTGCTGCTCTAACCATTGGCTGCTTCTGAAGCTGTCATGCTCAGAGCATTGAGACGAATGAGATGCTGGGAGAAGACAGCCCATGGTACTGAAGGAGTCACTCCCATTGCTGGGAAGAAGGTTGTGGGTCTTCTATGGTAATGCATCCTTCAGCCCACTGTGGTGCTTTCCACGACTGTTGCGCCCTTCCCTGCTGCTGCTTGCTGGGGACTAGGGTGCCCCATGCTCTCCCACTTCTATGGCAGCCTCTTCACCAACACTACTACTCCCCCACCACCCAAGGACAACAGAAGTAAAACTTACCTATTGCTAACTTTTTTATTTCTGCCCATGCACACCTCTCCAGCATGGGGCCATTATTAGGCTGCCCCTGTTCTGCAGGCTCTTGTCAGCCAACTCATTTGGTACCCCATCTCTAGGCAACTCTGACAGCGCCAAGTAGCCACAGAAACCACAGTTACTGGTAACTGTGCTCCCCACCCTTCCCACAAAGGGTCCCTGCAAATTTTCCATACCACTCCCTTCAGAAAAGGGCCAGGGCGATATTAGGAGGAGGCATGCTTAGACACTTAGGAAAAGGAAAACCAATTAGTACAACTTTCTTTTGGTCCCTAAGAAAAGTCAGAGGGGAATGATGGGAAAGGGAGAGGGGGGAGGAGTGCCCACCCTGGGTTTTCCATCACCTAGCTGCTCTAATTCCACACCTGGACCCTGTGATCCCAAAAAGACATAACCAACTATGCTGGCAATTCGGACTTTGACTCCCCCCACTGCCTTCAGCCAATATGCTTGTTGTACTTATACAAGATTTTCTAGATGAGAATTCACTCCAGACAAAAGAAGGATAAAATCTAGGTGTGTTAAGAGCAGGGAATCCCTGTATTTGCATCAAAGTAGTCTGAGTGTAATAGTCATCTTAGTTCTAAAATGAACACGGTGATTGCTGCGGTCGGTCGTATCCTTCTCTCCACATTATGCCTTTAACAAATGCTTCTCTTTATCTTTCAGGCATCTTCTCAGGCAGAGATGTAATCTGTCGGCCAAAACCTGGCTGGTGGGAGAAACAAGCTTTCAGGAAGTCTTTGCAAAAACCATTTAAAACTGAAGTCAAGAGGAAAATTAACTCTTTTAAGTTTTAGCTTTAAATGCCTTTCTCTTTCATGAAGTAAGGGCTACTGAGTTACTGTTTTTATTTTAAGTGGATCCTTCCAAACTAAGGTTTTCCTTTTGGTGCTTCTCTTCAAAGAGCAGGTGGCTTTTCAATTTTTGACAGAGTAATGATAATAAGACTTCCTTTCCTCCTTTCCTCCCCCTCTGTCCAGTTAAAAAGAGCATCCAGAGCTTCTAAACTCTTCCACCTGCTGATGGAGATGATGGCAAAGCTAGTAGGAGTATCAAACTCTTGATATTTGCAGGCATACAAGAGGGTCCAAGAGACTGAAAAAGTGAATGGCTGGCCAGGGGCTTGGATCTTTTTATAAAATGAAGCTTAGGTTATTGTAAAATTCCTTTGAAGATTTTAGAAGACACTTTAACCTTTAGTTTGCAAATGAAAAGGGGAGGGGGGGATGAATAGCCTCTCCAAACTGCTTTGGACTATTATGGCACCTTTTGTCATAGGTCAGGGCTTAAGGGTCCATCTTCCTAAATAATATTTTTAAAGGAAAATGTGCCAGGGACTTAGGGGATTGCCATTGAGCTTTGGCAGGACTATGGAGCTGATTATCAAGGATAAGATTACTTCTGGGAGGACGTATCCCTCTAACTCCTTTCCTGGAAGGTGACAGCTGGGCAGGGAAGGAAAGGGATAGGATCAGTCTGGTTAGTCACAGAAACTAAGGCTGTCAGTGGTGAAGGAAATTCTTTGTTGCTTGGGAGTTGACATCTAAGTATGCTGACAGGAAAAAAAAGCTATGAATTAACCATTTAAAGCACCAATCCTATAGCTTTTTGAAGCAAAAAGTGATCAGTTATTGCTTGTTAACTGCAAATTCTACAAAAACAAAAGCACTCACAAAAAAAGTTCTGTTTGGGCCATGAATGAACATGGAAGGAGAAAGCACATTTTTTCCCCCTTATATTTTTAGTATTACAGTAGGCTGATAAGACTTAAGGAAAGGGTTGTTCATACTTGAGTATATATGTGAAATGAGCACTTAGAAGTTTTTTTCCAAACCCCTTCCAAATAATCATTTTAGGAGGGCACTCGAGAAAGGAAGATGTTTTAGGTTTATAAAGAAATGATCAAATCATCCTGAACCCAAAGAGGGTGACTTTGGAGCAATTATTCTCGTAAGCAGACTTCTAACATGCAAAATTACCTTCTTTAAAATAAATTTAGGACTCTAGTTTGAGGGGCTGAGCCACATGATTTTATCATTGCCACCACACCATCCACTTCCATGTGAACTAAAGTCCTACTGTCAAATGTTTCGGCTTTCTGCTTCAGAACATCTCAGATTTTAGTCACTGAAAATGAGCCATTAAGTTCTAATACTTAGAAAGGAAACTATAAAATTCAATAGTAGCCATATAAAATGCAGTATTTTGAGTACCTGATGCTACTGTGGTATGGTTTACCATAATGCTTAAGGACACAGTCAGAATTAAACTATCACGATTCTGTTATCTCCATATTAATTTTAGTTGCCATACATATAAAATCCTCCTTAACAAATAATTATCAGTTATAAGTGTTTATGTAAAATATAAAAACCTAGGATTAGTTTAAAAGGCAGACATGACTAATGGCCTGTTTTTCAGTTGATGTATTTCACCTGCTTCTTGATGTGGGCACTGGGAACGTGCCTTTCCATTTGAGTATGTTACTGAAGAGCCCTTAGCAGTTAGGCTCATTTATTTACTACTGTATTTGAAACACATGAAAAGGAGTCTCAGCATATAAATTCAAGATGACAACCCTATAGAAACAAACTGGCTAATACAGCAGTTGAATGCCCAATATGGTATTCTGTCCCCCTACAACCTAGTTACAATCAACTTCAACTGACAGGAATTTTCAGTGAGTATTTTATTTTGGAGTGTCCTGTTTCCTGAGAAAGTGCTACCTTACCGAAGATGATTTAAGATATTTTTGTTCCTCCCCTTTAAAATAAGGTGTGACTAAAGGGTGCCAACTCCCTGGACCTGGCTGTGAATGCCACTGAAGAGTATCAACCCAACAGTTAATTATCTTCAGCAGTGCTTTAAGAAGTTTAAGACCTCCCTTAAAACAACTGAAGCTCACATGGTTTCAGCCTAGTTATTTGCGGGGCCAGTGCCATTTGAGCAGACGTGCAGGGTTAGATTCAAGCAGCCTGGCCGGCCAACCCTGGCTTACTAGAGGGCAAGTTACAAAAATCGCAAGTTTACCCCGGTAATAAAGTTTCTTAGTTGTCCCTTAAAATGAGTGGAACTTAGGAAGTGGCAGTACTAAGAGCTGGACTGGTAGTTTGGAGACCTGAGTTCTTGGGGTAGCTCCCTGACTAAGCTCATCTGCAAATGGGAGACGATGTCAAGACAGGGCTGTTCGGAAGCTTGAACGGGAACAAAAAGAAGAGTTGCTGTAAAATATGCTGGAATGGCAACATGTACACCAAAGGAAGCTCCAGTGCAAGCACCTTTGTGCTCAGACCAGAATGGTGATCATTTCTGCAAGGGTGTCCGGAGACTGATGGCTTAGAGAAGTCACTTCCGCTTAAAACATGGCAACTGGTAATCCTCTGTAAAGTGAACAGATGATATTCAAGTCCACGGTAGCTTGAAAAGTTTGTACTTGGGAATATGCATTTATGGGCATATACATAAAAGCAAAGAGTGAAACATGCTGAAGCACCTTGTGGCAAGCCCCAGTCTTGACGACCAGTGGGGGAAAAGAACAAAATTTTCAAAACTAAGTATGTAAATATGCTTGCATCTTAAACTCTTGTTAATGTTTTTTGCTAACTCGTTATGAATAAGCTGCTGGTTTAAACAACTTTTGCTGTATAAAACTGCAGTGCATGACGTCACATCTGACATTTGTTTTGAATCTTTCAGCTTTTGAAAACAGTTCATGGAGTTTACCTCTGTATATTGTATTGATAAGGTTAAAAAAAAAAAAATATTTCGAGCATTACAGAAAGATCTTCACCCAGATAATTATTGGTACCTTCAGGAATTTGTCAGTTGCCTTACGTGAGGATGAATAGATCCAACAAGCACGTCTATAATACAAAGTAAACTATGATTTTATTGTGAAATTCTCATAGATGGAAAATTAAATTGAATATTTATTCTGTCCATATCATTTTACAGTAATCTTACCACTTATTTTTGTACCATGTATTTCAATTGCCTGTTTAGTGAAAAATAAAGAAACCTTTAATTTTTGGCTTGTTTTTAGCTTCAATTTTATCAATGAATTAAAGATCCCCACCATAAAATGTGTTGCCAGCAGCCATATCCCATGCTCCTATGTGAAGAGTGTTTTGGCTGCTACTTCAACCCCGAGGAAAAAACTCTGACCTCGATCACCTTTAAATGCCAGTGTCAGCGAAAGGTTTTTGTTCCCCACACTAAAAACAAACCCTAGGATCCTTAAGGTTCTAATGGACAAAATTTTCATATGTGCAAAATTCTACCCAAATAAATAATTTCTCTCATTTGTAACCCCCACCCTGCAGTCATGCTTTCAGTTAATTTTTAGGGCTATAATTTCTAAAATTAGGGCAAACCAAGTTTCCTGCTTTCTACTTCAATGTTTTAACTTTCCTCCAACATGAAGTTATACAATTGTGGAGGATAAAACAGTTTACATCTGACTCAGCCTGGAAGAAACAGTATTAGCACGTGTCTGATCTTCTGCCAGTTAGGAAAGGTGTGCAGCTTCCTGCACCACCACCACAGGTGAGTAACAAAATGCAGACAAAGCCATTTCAAATGGTTTTAGAGAAGGATCCGCGATTATAGGCTAGATAGCATACGTTCTAAACTTGTTTTCCATACAATTCAATCTTCCTGAACCACTAGGGTTGGTTAAATCCCTCACAGCACAGACGCCTCCCTAAGTCATTTATAAGGTATTATCTGGGAAGCACCTTAGATGCTGCTCTAAGAGAGGTCTACAATGCCCTGGTTGCACACACAAATGGCTGTTTCGAGTATAATGCAAGGCTTAATTCCCTTCGACCATAAGAATTAAAACAATACTTATCACCATACAGTTTGATGTTACTTCCAATAAGTACAATATTTATTAAACATATCTTGTTGTTTTGTTACATAGTGTGCAACAAATTACAATATTCTGCAGCCACAAATTATATGCAGAGTATGAAGAAACTATCAGATAGTGTAATCTTTCCATTTATAACTCTACAGGGAAGAACTAGCAAATCAGATCTTACATAGGACATCTCACTAAACTTATGCATGGAAAGTGACAGACACTGGTAGTGCTGTTGGATACAAAATGGCTGAACTTCATCTTCAGAAGACTAAACCCAACATCTAAACATGCCAATATAAACATCGAAACAAAATACATTCTAACCAACCACGGTAAACAGTCTGAGATCAGGAAAGCAACAAGGATTACACACATTATTTTATAAACCAGCACACAAAGGTTTAAAACAGTTCTGAAAATGAAGTTAGCTGTCTTGAGTCAAGGGAATAAAAAAAAAGTCAGTATTGACCATTTACAATCTCTGACCTTTGTGGAGACGGTAAGAATCTGTTGTAGTGCAGCTACATACAGTACAATTCAGGCAATTTTGTTTTTTCACTTGGGTTCAGATTGCAAATTCATTGCTGTGAGAAAAGGACGGAGGCAAATTTTAGCAGCAACCTCCACCTGACTGCTTGACTGGAGTGCTCTGAATTTTAACATTGGACTTCTCTGCACCACCAGCTGTTGCTCCTGGGCCCATCCGCTTTTTAATCTCAGCTGCCATTGTCATGAAAGACTGTTCTACATTCGTTGCGTTCTTAGCACTCGTTTCCAAAAATGGAATTCCAAGGGAATCAGCAAATTCCTAAGAGGACAATAAGGCACAATTAATATTCTTTTTCACTTAGTGAATTTTTTTACCACCTGAAATGGAGAGTGAGGAAGGACTATGTTTACT